GAATGGCATTATCTACACAGAATTTAATCTAGAACATTCCATAGCATGGAAGTTGAGAAAACTTTCATGTAAACTCCCGCTTGTCAGCTCTCATGCAACCCTTGTTCTCGTTTGAACAAGCAATGAAAGTTGGGAAAACTCTCGTAAAAAAACCCGTAAAAACAAACGTAAAAAATTTACACACGAAATATTCACCTGCAAAATCCTTCAACATTGTGATATAGACAATATAGGGAAGAGGGATGAAATCCAAAAATTATGTGCGGTGTATATTTGTTAAATATGCTACAATTAGTTTACATTCATGCATGTTTCGCTCGCTGCTCTGGTTTAAATAAATGATTACAAAGCCCAGTCGAATTGTAATCAAGACCCAACGTTTCGACACTCCAGTCTAGTGTCTTCATCAGGGGTGATCTAAAACTGCGATCGTGGCTTCTTAAATACCCAAGGGATGACGTCACCTGCCAAGAAGATGCATATATTCTTCTGGCAAATAGGCGCCGTCATGTAAGGCGCCGTCATGTTGCCAGAAGAATATATGCATCTTCTTGGCAGGTGACGTCATCCCTTGGGTATTTAAGAAGCCACGATCGCAGTTTTAGATCACCACTGATGAAGACACTAGACTGGAGTGTCGAAACGTTGGGTCTTGATTACAATTCGACTGGGCTTTGTAATCATTTATTTAAACCAGAGTAGCGAGCGAAACATGATTGATATACCTGGTTGCAGTGAACGAACAAACTTTATAGTTTACATTGATATTATATATATATATTTCATGTCACTATCGAATGAAGTAATCGGTTTTTAAAATAAGTGAAATTAGAAATTGCATACCTCTAAGAAGGTTACACCATTAGACCGATTCGAAAAATATTTCTCATTCATTTTCTTCCGAAATTAATTTCAACAAAGTAATCCCTGCCACCTTGTAGAATACTTCAAGATTAACATTCTTACAAAGTGTAAATATCATACCACGTATTCTTTTTGAGGAGTCTTAAAAATAACGACGTTTATGCTAATTTGGCAAACAAGACTAATTTGCTTCGTTTTCATGCTTTTTGCATACATCTTAAACTCATTAATAATTCTCATGAATTATTATTAGAAAATAATAAATTAGCCAACCATATTGCTTTATTTTGCTCACATGATAATGGTGAAGTATACTGATTCAGTCCTAGGACTGGGGCCGGTTGTATCAAAGGCGTTTAACTCGCTATCCACCGTTTAACTCGCTATCCGCCGGATAAAATTTAAACGCTCGAGAAATCGCGTTGTATCAAGCCCGTTTAGCGCTATCCACCGGTTAAATTTTGCCTATCCACCGTGTAAACTTATACGGTCTCTTGAGACCGTTTAAATCGCTATACGGCGGATAAACTCGGAGTTTGAAGATAAAACAATGATTATTTCGGATGAAAAAGCATGGGATAGTTATGAAAATGCACAATCATGTAGAGGAGTTATCTTTTTAAATCCAATAAACATGAAAAACTCACTTTTAACGGCTTGGTCTTGAGGTACACTGAGGTCACTTGCTCACTTGTAATTCCGTGGCTTTGCTATATTTTAATACGCACACCAGTGCCATGTTTAGATGTTAAGTATATATACTCTGGCTTTTTCTCCTTCTTTTCTTCTATTATATTGTTTGAAAACAAGCAGTAAGACTCCCAATTTTAGCTATTGTAAAACAAACAATGACTTTGAAAAGCCAACAAGTATACAAAATAGACAACAAGACGCCGAAAGTCGAAAAAAATTGTTCGCTCGCGTTAATCGCTTTGATCAGCCAATCAAAACCTGGGACAAAATGTTCTTAAAATTGTTTTGAACAAAAGTGCAAGGTCGAGGAACAAATTTCAAACAGTATAAAACTGAATCAACTGACAAAAGCCAAATACAACTCACAGTTTTTGCTATTGCCTTCGACTCTTCGCATAAAGAAGCCAAAAATCTTTAAAGAAATATCCGTAAGTGAATTTAAGTGAATGAGAAACTCAGCACAATGTGAAAATGAAAAGTTTGATATAGATTTGCAGCAACGAATGGACGAGCAAATTCCAAATAAAAACAACAACAAACTTTATTGCAAAAGCTTAGTGGAATTCACAAGTTAGATAAAGCTTCAAAAGTTTACAAAGGCCTATAGCAACAGCTGACGTAGAGGTAAGAAATTTCAAGAAAATCCGGTTTTCTCCGGTTAAATTAAAGGTATCCTACGGATAGTTAAACGCGGTACTAAACGGGCTTCATACAACGCAATTTTATCGGCCGTTTAACTATCCGCTGGATAAGAAATTTATACGCTGGATAGCGGCTAAACACCGTTTAAGTTAAACGCCTTTGATACAACCGGTCCCTGGATCAAAATTAATTCACCTCACTTTAAGTAGTGATTTATTCGTATGAGATGTCAAGAACTAGATTTTATGACTTCGCATTTTGATCACATTGCGCGGACTTGAAATTTAGTCCGAATTGGAGGATTTTGAATGTGACTTCAAAGGGCTATAATTTTGCTTGCATGGAATTACATTTTGCCTTAAACGACGGTCTTTGTTGAAAAATTGTTGATTAGTCTGGGAATTCATAAAATATAAAATAATGCAAAATTGTGGTAGCTAGTTTTCGAATCGGTCAAGCGGTATGTATGTTGCTTTAATCATGCAACAAATTGTTAAGCGCTCTCAACCACTCAAGGTCAGCTTGATTGTGCAGTTTCCAATTGTCAAGACTGGATATTATTTTGCACTCAGAATTCCTTTCAGACACAGAAGTGCCCTGAGTATTCATTAAAAAGTGTATAATTACGTTGCATTATGGACTGGTATATATTTGGTGCCCATTCTTTGTTCTCATAAGTGCTTAAGCCTCGATACAGTTTTTTAAAAAAAATGGAAAATTCGTCATTTTGATCCGTATTTTTGGAGAATGATTACTTGTTGTGAAACAAAAAGTATCTTCCTAATGTAAAACAGCGTCTAAAGCTGCAGTTACGCGAGCAACAAAATTGTTGCAACTTGCAACAAAATCTGATTTCAACGCATGTTAAGTAGAAATATCCACACATGTTGCCTTGTGATTTGTAATTTATGTGTAAACATTTTTAATTAACATGCGTTGAAATCAGATTTTGTTGCAAGTTGCAGCGATTTTGTTGCTGTGTAACTCCACCTTGAAGGGTTTGAATTTTTTCACGAAAGTTACGAAACTGATGACGTTTCAAAATAGCAGATATTTTGGCTTTAGAGTAACTTGACTCGTAAACGAAGTCCATGACCCCAAATTTTATTTCATAAAATGATTTCTTTCAGTATACGTAAATGGAATTATTCATAATATTTTTTTTGCGGTACAGAATTTTTTTTTAAATTCTCAAAATAATTGAGCATACTAAGAGAAATCACTTTATGGAATAAAATTTGGGGGACACCGATGTCATTTTCGAGTTTCGTTTTAAAGCCAAAATTTCCGCCATCTTGAAACGTCATTGTTGCCAAAGCAACTTTTTGTTTCTTAACAAGTAATAATTGTCCAAAAATACGTATCTAAATCCAAGAAATCGTGAATTTTCCATTTTTTAAAAAACTTTATTAAAAGCCACCTTAATCTTAGGGAAAGATGTTAAGGGGGGTCTCCGAAATATTTTCTGGCATTAAAGGGGGGCTCTGAAAGTTCTTGATATCCTGAAGGGGGGCTCTAAACTTTTCAAAGGTTTGACCCCAGCAAATTAAAGTTAAAATTTTTACATTTTCAGGTAAAATTTGCGTAATAAAGTAATTATTTTTGTGAAATGATAACCATTTTTGTAAAATACAGTCAAGTTACATGTAATTTGTTTGCGAAATTTGCTTTAGAAAACGCCAGAAATTCAGTCCTAGATCTTCAAAGATGTAAAAATTTTCTGGGGGAGGACCCCCAGTCCCCCCTTTTCTCCCAAAACTTAGTATGAGAGTGCCAATCAATCACAAAAAGCTTTATTATAATTATTACACGTATAATCCTCTGACATCCCCCCACCCAAACGTCAGATGCTTTGCTACGTCCCTGATGGTTGTATTCGAAACCGATTTCAGTTTTAAGATATCCTTAGTCTGCTCTTCTAAATGGATACATGAAATCACCTATAGCTTATTGGCGCCAGGTTTGTGAAGTAATTTACGCGCCTAAAAGTAGCAGTTCCAAAAACAAAAAAGCATATACGATTTGCAAGAATGATATGTTCTATGTTTATGGGATATTTCGTACAAACGGGATGGAAATTAAAGAAATTAAAGCATACTGGCACTTTTGCATGCATTTTTGACAGGCATACAAAGACATTTGCAACAGATGCCGGGAGATACGTTGGGTGGGGGCGACATACTGTAAGGTTCCAGCACATTACCCTGATCCAGGAAATCCTGGCCACTACATGAACGTGTTCAAGACTCCGAATACGCTGAATGATGGACAACAACAACCTGTTGATAATTTCATCCCTAGAGCCAATTTAAAATGTTTTAAAGACGGTGCCATTTCATCTGGCGCTAGTGAGGTGAAAGAAGCAGCAGATCGGTAGTTTTGTTGAGGAGAAGCACATGCTTGAGTATATCAGACATCTTGAGGAACTGCAAATTGTATCTATGATAAGAGAGAATCCCGGATTGTACTCCTTCGATTCCGAATTCTAGGGGGGGGGGGCATTGAAAATTTTAAAAACTTGGAGGGGGGGGGGCATCGAAATTAACCGATAACCTCAACAGGGGCCCTGTAAAAATATGAGCTTTTTTCAAGACATCTTCATCCCCCTCCCTCGGTGTAATAAATGTACTTTCCCTAAATTAATCCTTTAAAAGTCTCTGCGGAGGAGAGGGGTAAGCCGGCGAGGGCTTTGCTTTCGTATTTCTAGTTATATGGTAAATATACCTTTTTGTGTGACTACCAAACTAATATATGTGTGTTGGCACCTATCATAGATGATTATAGAATATTGATATCAACAAAATGATAAAACATCTAACTAAAAACTCGTTTATTTGTTTCGTACACATACAACAGTTCTGTCAATTAAAGAGTTCAGAACGTAGCTGGGCGATAATACAAGCTTCGTAACTTTTGTGTCACGAATGTTTTCTAAACATTTTTCCTATACTGCTGGCATATGAAGTTTCTATATATGTAGAATCATGTGTTTTTATACGTGTAAAATCCTGCAGTTTTTTAAAAGGTCAATTGCTATCAATATTTTCTCCTGGGGCCGGTTGTTCAAAAGCCGATTAGCTTAACCCTAGGTTAACTTAAAATTCAAAGCACACTTCCTAACAGCTTGTTTATAAATTTGGAAATATTTCTTCACAAACTATGTCTGGTTCAATAGAAGTTTTCTTTTCTGACATTTTGAAATAAATGGACATGCAGAAATATGCAAACTAAAACAGCGGTTTAACCCTGGGTTAGCGCTAATCGACCTTTGAACAACCGGCCCCTGTAACATAATTAAAAGAAATAATCTCCAGTCAGGCTAGCTTGAGGCAGCGAGACCGATCAATTTTCAAAATTCTACGTACATTCATCACTCATTATGGTATTAAAACCAAGTTCTAAATTCTAGCAGCAAGGAATGCAAACATGGGCAAGACGTAAGTATGATGTGGAAATGATGATGTGGCGATTTTTCCAGAAAGTTGCTACGTTTAAATGCTTGTAAGCATGCTTTTGGTCTTTTGGATCTGATTGTAGGAATCCTATAAGTTTTATCTAGAGGTTTTTGAACCACATCCACGGCATGATTTCTGCATCAACAAACTGCATTTGTACAAATGTCAAAACGTTAGGAAATCACAGTGAGTTACAGTATTAAAATGGGCTGATTCCTAAAAAAGTACAACTACAGTACACCTTTTCTCAAGCTAAATATTAAATTCAACCGCCCTATCTTAGCTCTCCATCATTACTCATCAGTATGTCAGTATCTAGAATATAGAGTGAAATCTTAATGTAGATGCATCTTATAAACATGACTGGAGATTATTTTTAGGATTTACTGAGAAACAACCAGATTCATTTTTATGAGAAAGGACGTATTTACATCTCTACTAAACGAACAAACAATACTGTTATAACTCTTTAAAAATGTAGCCTAAACGAGCTAGACAGTTCACGTTAAAATCATTTTATCATGAAATGTTTGTGAGAGTTTATGGAGCAACATAAGGAGGAGGAAGGCGGTAGCTGGCAACAGGCGGGCGAGAGTTTCCTGCAGGTTCATGACCACTGTCGAATGGCGGTTGGTAAGATGGGGAACTGTCACTTAACAGTCGTTCACTAGGATCTTCAGTTGGTGTTGAGCTACGAGGGTAGGCAGGAGGGGGAAGAGGGGCTTTTTCATTAGGGGTGATTAAAGGTTGATTACCATAGACTTCCCTCATTGGATACTCCTCTCTAAAAACAGCAGGTTTCTTGCGTTGAACAAACACAACTTTCTCGTTCTTGTCAAGTCTGCTCTTACGTCGACACCGTATACATATGATAATAATTAACCCGATGATGAAGATCAAAGCAGCAATAACAAATGCGGGAATGATGGTATACTCCCACCATGTTCCATCGTCGTCATCATCAGCTCTGCCTATTACATTTGGATCAGGTGTTGTAGTCACTTGTTCTACCATCACCACCCAGGTCTCCACTACCGAACACTTTGGAGATATTGGACAAACAAAATCTTCTTTGAACTTCGGAAATGGTGTGTCCATCGTATCCTCACGAACGTATTTACGTTTGTAATCCTCGACACCTGTCACGTTAGTGGCAATATTCGCGAAATTCCATTCCAATATGACACTACCCTCTCTATAACCGTTTACACGGATGTCCTGATACGAGGTATTGAAGCGGTCACCGAAATACTTACCAATCTCAACGCAGAGCTTAACTCTCATTGTAACACTTTTCTCGAACGTTTTCTTGTAATCTGCATCAAGCTTGAGACCGAAGTAGTGATTGGGTTCAACAGGTGCTGGGTTAATATGAAACTCAAAAGCATCGATTGTTTTCTTACCGGTACTGTCATATGCAATCAGCAGAAACTCATGTTTACCAATAAGGTCTCCAACTGGTAAAGCATAAATTGTTTGGGACAGGACGTCGAATGTAACCCATGAAAGAGCATCCAAGATTTCGTATTCACGTGTTTTCATTGAAAGTCTAAGCTTTGGAGTTGGACCATCTTCCTCGTCGTGAAATGTATCTTCAGGTACCTTGAATACGAGAGGTTGACCAATGTAGAGCGGGATCAGATCAACATGGTTTATAAGGACAGGGGGAACATTCTTGAGAACTACTCTTATGGTGATCACAAGCAACATTGACATCAAGCCCTTACTGTCAGTAACAATCAGCGCAATTTCGGTGTCATCCAAAACTTTTGGAATACCAGTGAGCGATTGAGACGTTTTGTCGAGCTTTACCCAAAAATCGGGGGGTAATTCATTACCCTGTGGATCGTACATATCCAGCTTAAGATTAGGCGTTTGGCCGTCTTCCTTATCACGGAATGTATCAGGCTGAATATAAAAGGTGAAAGGCACATTTATTACCGCAGTCAAGTTATTGATTGGGATATATATATAAGGTTTCGTGTTTGGTGGAGGCACGGTGGTAATCGGGATAATCGGGGTGATAGAAGGGCCATATGGGTTTGTTGTTTGCGTCGGAGAAGGAATAATTCTAGTAGCGGTGGGAGTAACGGTAAAAACAGTTGGAGATCTGGCAATGGTCGGAGTACCAATAACTTGAGTGACAATAGCTGAAGTAGGAGTGACGAAAGCCGAGGTTGGCATTGGAGTTTGCGCCAATGCTTGGCGACGGACACGGACAACCTGACGATGCTTCACTCGGCCATAGGTCACATGCCATGCTACTACAGGGGATCTTAGCTCGTTCTTAAAAGCTCCAGTTTGAGATGCAGATTTGAGGTGACCAACAGAAACGTAACTTTTCTCACTTTCTAAAACGTAAATAGAAGACAATTCTATAAAATGGTTTTGTAATAAATTTGAATAATGCTATTTAAATATACGATTGCAAAAGTCAATGAACGTACAGTTTTCCAAACGTTTTCCAAATATGTATATAATATAGCATATATGTATATAATATATACAGCTAATTCAATTAAGGTTGTCCACGAGAAAAGCGGAATCGCTAACAAATTAATGAATTTTCAAAGCGGTTCCCAGCTGCCTTTCGCGCTCGTATTCGACTTTTCCGCTTTGCTCGTGGACAACCTTAATTGAAATAGCTGTATATATATTGTTCGTTGTTTTTCTTTTGCCATCGACCCTGTCCTTGGGGGTCGATATCGTCCTTTATCGCTGAGCAAACGGTATAGTAACCCTTAGCGCTATGGTTTATAGCAAAGACTTACAGGAGAATAATTTTGTACAGATTTGTATACGATACCCATGCAACCTTCTGATATAGCACGAACGCTACATCTATCACTTTCTACGGTTAAGCGAGTAATTGCAAAGTATAATCTGACCGGTTCTGTGTCAACAAAAGTTCGGCTCTTAACACGTTGCCTGAATACGACTCGAAAAGTTTTTATTTCATTTCCTCCGCGGATGTATACCTTGGAAAGTCACTGATAAAGATCTTTTCGAACTTATACGTTTGTTGGCACTTGGTTTCTTAACGTAATATCCATCGACATATTTAATAATTGTCCTAAACTTTACGTCAACGATGTTTACGGCACTCCACCTACATGCATTGTAGAACAATCATACCCTTAATCCTTATTATAGTAACAGGTCGTATAAAAATGACTTGCTTTTAAAAACGTTTCTTCAGAGGAACCTCTTTTCTCAACGAAAGTACATTGTACGCAAAACTACAAACATGATATACAAACCTGTAATACTATCGCCGCATCCGATCTTCCACGACACAGAGACTCCTCTTTCCTGAGGATCTTTCACCCATCCAGGTCCAGCAGTCAATACAACAACATCTTTTAAGTTGAAAGCAGTCTTCTCCCCTTTGCCTGGCATCCAACGAAGTTGATCTACACGAGTGTCTGTCCAATCCGAAACACCATTCAGCAGCTCAACTCGATTCGTGCCAGATAATTTTCTTGAGTTCAAATCGAACACCAGAGTAGCTACAATGATAGGAGCATGACTGGCGCAATCCAGAAGTGACTGAGATGTGTTCTTGCTAGATTGTGACAAGGTGTTTGTCGCTATTATTTTAAAGTGGTTTAAATCTTCTTCATATTCAACAACTTCTATTGTGAGGAAGTTGATTGTGTCAGCTGTCTTGTTTGTGGAGTCAATAAAGACGTCAAGTCGGATAGTGTGCGAGCCCTTGTCATGATATGATGGTACTCCAAGCAAGAGGTGTCTTGCGCCATCAAATTCCAGCCAGGATGGAAGATTCTCACTATCAGGTGCATGAAACTAAAATAATTAAATAGGTAAGCTATTGGTTGCTATTGCCGTGAAGTAGTTGTTGCTGTTTATTGTAGTTGTTAGTGTTGTTGTTTGTCTAGTAGTAGTTGTTGGTGGTGTTTCTCAACTTGGTTGTTTTGAAGAATGATTGACAAGGGGCGTACCAAGCAGGTGTCATGGTGGTCTACCTGCTCCCCCTTCCACCTACGAAAAATTGGTTGGTGAACTGTTTTAAGGTTACATTACATAAAAAATAGGTACGCTG